CACGTGAGACGGCTGGGCTCTAGTTAGAGCTGGGGAGCTTCTGTCTTCCCCAGAGGGCAGAAACGGAAGGAAGAAGAGAATCAGAGCCGGGTCAGGGGTGGGAGAAGGGAGTAGGGAGCAGGTAGGTGAAAGAAAGGTACCGAAAAGAACAGGGCTGAGATGAAGTGGCAGTGTGGCCTGGGCCCAAATTGTTACAGGATCCCAGTGCCCTCAAAGAATTGGGTGGGGCATTTTCCATAACAGCCAGGGGACCTGATGGTTACCTCCACCTTTCTGCCCACGTTACGGCACGGGTTCCTGCAGCCTAGCTTCTGTCCTCAAGCAAATCCTGGCGCCTGCGCCTCTGACACCATTTTCTCTCCCCCTTCCCCCAGCAGCAACAACTGTCTCTCTGGCTTCTACTCTACCTCCTGGGATCCCCATTTTGGCAGCAGAGGAGGAGGCCTGGGGGCTCCAGGGAGCCAGATCCCACGCAGACCCTTCCTCAAGCATGGAGATGCACGGAGAGCCACCCGATCACCGTCAGACGTCCAGACGCAGCCCCTAGGATATTCCGAAATTGCCAATCGACTTACCACGCAGGCTGAAGCTGAGGCGTGGAGGCAGCAGACTGCAGGCCACTAGAATCGCCGAGCCTAGCGGGGCTCCCCAGCAGCGACAGCGGGGACTGAGAGAGGAAGTGTAGCCGGGAGGGGCGCGGCCCGGCGCTGACAGCTATGGGTTGTGGGAACCTCCGCAGCCGGCTCCGAGCTCTCTCTGTGTTGTCCACCCTCAACCTGTTCGTCGCGCACAGTGGACAGTGCGGATTTAGCGCCGACCGGTCAAGGACCAGTGACTGGCCATCAGGCTTATCATCTGGACCACTGGCCACACCCTGCGCTGGGGAGACACGCCCTGCCCCTTCACCGGTGCACTTCCACCCCGACTCATGGCCAAAGAAGCCCCCTGGGGCTATCAGAGGCAGTCCTAGGGTGCTGGGACCTTGGCTTGGGTGGGAGCTGGTATGGGTGTGGGATTCGTGCCTCAAGACACTGACCCCCACCCTCCCGGTTCTTACCATCATGTGCCCCCCAGAAGTCATGAGGTTCGTAACTGGCTGACCCATAAAGGAGGAAGATAGCCCCAGGGAGAGAAGAGGTTCAGTCTAACTTTTGTCCCAAAGAATGCAGCCCCACCCATCCAGCCATATTTCCATCTAGGGAGAGTTTCCTCAGCGTCCTGACCCCAGGGATCTTCAAGGCTCCAGTTATAAGGGCACTTCCAGAAGCAGCCAGCAGGTGGGGACAGGGAGGCCAACAGGAGGCGTTGATTTTGTCAGCCTTCAAGCCCTGGAGAACAGGGACTAGCTGCTCATCCTCCTCCCCGCCTCCAACTTTCCCTTACTCCCCCTCCCCCCTTCCCCGCTTTTCTCTAAGAGCTGTCTTTGTTCCATGTCCAGACTTTTGTCTGAGTGGTCCAAATCACCAATTTCTCTCACCTGAGAAAGTTCTGCCATCTCCAAATTTGTCTCTCAAGCCCCTCTTAAAATATATTTCTGAAACAACAAACTCCCATCATGAAGCCTATCATCAAGGATCACAGCTGACATTCCAGAGCTCAGGAGGCTAGCACAAAGGGATTACAGTGACTTCTAGCCAACCTGACCTACAGTGAGGCCCTTTCAAAAAAAAAAAAAAAAAGTCAAAAAGTCAAGCATGGTGGCACACACCTTTAATCTCAGAACTTCAGAACTCAGGAGGTAGAAGCAGCAATCTCTGTGAGTTTCCAGGCCAGCTTGGTCTACAAAGCTAGTTCCATGACAGCCAGGGCTGTTACAGAAAAGAAACGCGGTCTCAAAAAAAAAAAGTATTGACAAGGATCTGGAAGAGTTGGAACCTCACTGATGATAAAAATGTAGTGGCTGTTTCTCCAGAAGACTAAATATAGAATTAACATGGTGACCCAGAAATTCCAGCCCTAACCATGTTCTTAAAAGAAATGGAACATGACTGCACAAATGCTGTACACAAATGTTATAGCAGCAGCATTATTTAGACAAGAAAAAGAGAGGACACCACCAGGGAATGGAGGGAGAAAGGAACCCCTCACTATGGAGTCTGATGGGAGCTGAGCGTCAAGAACTCCAGCTCACTGTGCTGGAGATGGGTCATCAGTGAAGAGCCTTTGTTGCTCTTGCTGAAGATCCAGGTTTGGTCCCCAGTACTTGCATGGTGCCTCAAACCGTTCACAACTCCTGATCTGAGATCTGAGGTCTTCTGATCTCTTCAGGCACCAGGCATATTCATGGTGCACATATATGCATTTACATACATTTGGACAAAACACTTAAGCAAATTAATATATACATATATAGTTCAAGTAACAACATTTGCTGTGAAGGTTGCCAAACTAGAGATTTTTTTTTTTTTTTTTGGAAACAGGGCTTCTCTATGTTGCCCTGGCTAGCCTGTAATTTGCAGATCAGGCTGGCCTTGAACCCACAGTTATCCACTTGGCTCTACCTCCTGAGTGCTGGGATTAAAGGCATGTGCCACCATACTCAGCATGAAAAAATATATAGAGATAGTTCAAATGAGAATTTTAAAATAGCAATGGCTCATGCTAAAGGTCAAGTATATATGGCCTTTCCTCTTTCTCAGCTATAAACATGTGGTTGTTAGGAATTTCACAAGAAACCCCATTTCTATTAATGCCCATGTTGTAACTCCCTGTGCAATCCTTATGACCCGTGACTTTGTCTTACCAGATTGGAACTGTATCCAAGGCTCCTCCATAACCACTCTGTAATCTCATTTACTGAAAAGGGGGAAAGAGAGCCAGACGGTTGTGGCACACGCCTTGAATTCAGCACTCTGGAGACAGAAGCAGGTGGATCTCTGAGTTAGAGGCTAGCCTGGTCTATAGAGAGAGTTCAGGACAGCCAGGGATACACAGAGAAACCCTGTTACAACAAAAACCAAAAAAGAAAAAACCTAAAGAAAAGAAAGGGAAAAAGAGATCAAGGAGGGGGATCCTTTAGAAACCAGTTAGTTAATCAATATCATTCCCAAAGCCTCCAAAATCTTAATATTTACACTAAGACACTTAAGTGTGAATCTCCTTTGAGAAGCCCTTACCCATTCTTTTGGGTGTTTGTAATTCTCTCCATGAGGGCTTCCCTTTCTAATAACAATTGCATTCAAATCTATATATAAAAAATCTTTTTAGCCGGTTGTAATAGCATATACCTTTAATATCAGCGCGCTGGAGGCAGAGGGCAAGTGGATTCTGTGAGTTCAAGGCCAAGCTGGTCTACATAGTGAGTTATGGGTCAGTCAGGACTACATGTGAGACCCTGTCCCGAAAAACAAACAGACAAAAATAAAACAAACAACAACAACAAGCCTTTAATGAACTCTAACTCTTGCTTCAAATAATCTTGTGAAATCATTTTCTGTAGTGAAATCAAGGATCCAGCATCACCTGCATGGAGGTCTCAGAGAGGGAAGGAAGTCTTTGGGCTGTTGAGGCAGTAGAATGGTCTGTGTTTTCATCTGCCCTACCACAGACAAAAACAACCTAAATGTCCACCAACTGGTGAATGAGTGCATAAAATGTGATATCCTCACAGCTGAATGACATTTAACCTTAAAAAAATGAAGTAAGATACATTTTACAACATGTAATAAACTTTTAAAAAACTAGGCTAAATGAAAAATTCCAATCAATAACAAAATAATCAGCAGCCCTTCTTTATACAAATTATAAATGGGTTGAGAATGAAATCAGAGAAAAACATCACCCTTCACAATAGACACAAACAGCATAAAATATCTTGGAGTAACTCTAACCAAACAAGTGGAAGACCTGGATAACAAGAACTTTAAATCTTTGAAGAAAGAAATTGAAGAAGACACCAGAAAATGGAAAGATCTCCCATGCTCTTGGGTAGATACAATTAACATAGTAAAACTGGCAATCTTACCAAAAGCAATCTACAGATTCAACGCAATGCCCATCAAAATCCCAGTAAAATTCTTCTCAGACCTCAAAAGACCTAAATATAAAACCAACAACACTGAACCTCATAGAAGAGAAAGTGGGAAGTATATTTGAGCGCATTAGCGCGGGAAACCACTTCCTAAATATAACCCAGTAGCACAGACATTGAGAGCAACAATTAATATATGGGACCTCCTGAAACTGAGACACTTCTGTAAAGCAAAGAACATGGTCAAAAAGACAAAACAGCATCCTACAGAATGGGAAAAGATCTTCACCAACACGACATAGGACAGAGGGCTGATCTCTAAAATCCAATAAAAAATAATGGGGTACAGACCTAAACAGAGAACTCTCAACAGAGGAATCTAAAATGGCTGAAAGACACTTAAGGAAATGCTCAACATCCTTAGCCATCAGAGAAATGCAAATCAAAACAACTCTGAGATTTCATCTTATACCTGTAAGAATGGCCAAGATCAAAAACTCTGATGACAGCTTATGCTGGAGAGGAAAGTGCACTTTCCGCCATTGCTGGTGGGAGTGCAAACTGGTACAGCCACTTTGGAAGTCAGTATGGAGATTTCTCAGAAAATTAGGAAACAACCTTCCTCAAGACCCAGTAATGCCACTTTTGGGTATATATCCAAAGGATGCTCAATCGTGCCACAAGGACATGTGCTCATCTATGTTCATAGCAGCTTTGTTTGTCATAGCCAGAACCTGGAAACAACCTAAATGCCCCTCAGCCGAAGAGTGGATAAGGAAAATGTGGTGCATTTATACAATGGAATACTACACAGCAGAAAAAAATGACATCTTGAAATTCGCGGGCAAATGGACGGATCTAGAAAACATCATATTGAGTGAGGTACCCCAGACACAGAAAGACAAATATAATATGTACTCACTCATACGTGGCTTTTAGACATAAAACAAAGAAAAACCAGCCTACAATTCACAATTCCAGAGAACCTAGACAACAAAGAAGACCTTAAGAGAGACATATATGGATCTAATCTACATGGGAAGTAGAAAACGACAAGATCTCCTGAGTAAACTGGGAGTGTGGGGATTATGGGACAGGGTAGAAGGGGTCGGGGGAGGAAGAGAGGGGAGCAGAGAAAAAAGTATAGTTCAATAAAAAAAAGATAAAATATAACAATCACGAAAAAAAGAAAAATGCCAATCAAAATAACACAGATTACAAAACTCTTTGTTTTTTCCAGTGCTGGAGGCGACACACAGTTGCCTCTCACGTGACAGGCAAGGAATCTACCGCTGAAGCCACATTCCTATGCCAAGATGCTCTGTGGCATGCTCATGGCTGCATGACCGTGAATCATACACTTCACACGACTGTGCTGTATCTGTTTTATCTTTTTTTCCCTTAAAACCCCAGGCCTGGAAAGGTGATGGGGTAAGTGGGTAAGAGCACTTGCTACTTTTGCAGGTTTGGTTTCCATCACTCACATGTAAGCCCATGGCTGTCTGCGACTCTAGTTCCGAGGGACTGACATTCTCTTTCGGTGTCTGAGGGTGCGGAGGAGCACACGGGGCACAAAGACGTAGGCAGGGAAAACACCCATATGCGGAGGGGAGCTGATCTGAGAAGCAAGACTTCCTCAAGGCCCACGCTGGTCAGGTTTCAAAAGCTTTTTTAGTTTCAAGCAAAGAAAGTCTCTCCCTCTTCCTCAGGGCTGTCTTGCATAGCTCAGTGGAAGAGTGCTTGCTTGACGTCTGGGAAACTCTTAACTCTGCACCTCCGCCCCCGTAAAATACAAACTTCTCAAGCTGGCTTCTGTCTGCCTGGTTCCTATTATGCTTCCTTTCATTTCACATTTTGTAGCTTTTGTAAATGTTTCTTTTATTTAAATTTATTTTCACATAGTTTTGCTTTGTTTTTGTTGTTTTGTTTTGAGCCAGGGTTTCTATGTGTAGCAGTGTCCTGGAAACAGGTTGACCTGGAACTCACAGAGATCCACCTGCCTCTGCCTCCCGACTGCTGGATTTAAAGGCCTGCGCCACCATG